TGTAACTTATTCTATGAGAGTTTTTAATTTTTTTTTAAATTTTACATATATTAAATTAAATGGGTAAATGGATACCCGTTATAACCATGAATATTACCCATAACCGATGGATACCCGTTATAACCGCGGATAATACCCATAATCGTCCATTTAAATTTCATGGATAAACGGTTATACCCATAACCGTTTATTTGTCTAAATGATTACCCATAACCATAACCGTCAACTTTAAATGGCCGGGTAACCGCGGTTACCCATATCCATGGGTATTTTGCCCATCCCTACTAAAGAGAGGCGCATAGAGATTTCACATGGAGGGTTTTTGTGGGGCTATATAGTTGTCATGCGGGCGTTTATACACATACGAAGGCTTCTGTTTTTTTTTTTAATTACCGCGACTTATGCACAACATACAAAGTTATATATTATTTTTCACATTTATATTTACCAAGCCTAGCTCTTGTATTGTTTGTTTTTCAGATCAAATGCATCAAGATAAAATTTAACATTTTTTGAGTATCATGAATAGAATTTTCTTACCTTTTGTATTTCAACGTGAATTTCAACCAATCATAGTTTCATTTTATTTTTTAACTAGTGACGTCATTCTTTATTACAAACACAACAGAGACATTTATAGAGAGCTTCATAAATAAGTTTATAATGACAAAAATGTGATGGACTAAATGAAATAAAACTTTTTCGTCAATTGCAATGAGTTTTTGATCGTCGTCTCTGTCTTTTTGAAAATGTGATATCTTATTTTTAGTACCTTCTTCTTTTGATCGCTTGTGTCCTTATTCGGATTATTGTTGTGCTTTTTGTAGTATTGACTATGGTATCTTCATAATCTTCAAATTCAAATTTTGAGCGTCATTCCTCTAGTGGTTCTTCATATCAACATTGAGAGACTATGTGATCACCTTTGGAGGATAATGCAAGAATGAGTGCTTTTTGGCCGAGGATGAGGACAATTGCAATTTTGGACGACATTGTCAAGAAAAAAACAGAACGACCACCTAAATGAAAAGAAAAACAAATTCTCAACTCAATCATACCCTTATATGGATTCCTACCAAAGACTCGCAAATGCCTTGCCTGTCTCGAGCGAGATAACTTCCTCAATCACTCTTACATTATCATGAAAACATGATGCAACTACTTATTAAGTTGTACACACTTAAGAGCGAGTGCTGCAAATAAAATTATTCTAAGAATATGATTGTGTAAACTTAAATATAATGACTCGTATTACTTGAAGTTGGAGGTCAAGTAAACCCTATTTATAATTAGAATAAATAAAGACACAATGATAAAAGAAAAAACATACAACGTATCTCATAAATAGCTGAGCCCACCTCTCTCACTCTCAAATATTTTATTTTATTAGGAAAACTAATGAAAATGGCTTGAAAACTTTGAGTTTTAATGATAAGAACAAAATAAAAGGTAAAGTGAATAGTACCAGGATTGACTTTTTAGTGTAAAAATGTGGTTTTTCGTTAAAGTGAACAGTACCGGGTGCTTTTCGTTAAAGTTCCCTATTTTATTTTCACAACATTTCTGTTTGTTTGTTTCCTATCGATTTTATGGTTATCGCTACACTGCAACGAGAGGGCGAGTGAATGCCTCACAATATAGGAATGTGATTGCAAATATTCACCAGGTTTTGCATACATTTTCACAAAGGAAGATGAGTTTTAGTGGGCGTGCAACGAATAAGGTAGCCCATCGATTGGCTAGTTTTATCTGAGTTTATTTCGTAACAATTTTGTAATTTGGTTTGAGCAACCACGTAATCATTGACTGTCACAGTCCGTCCCGAATTATTTCATCGGTGGTGTGAAAAGACTAAAGTACCCTTGAACGTTTGTGGTGTTGTGTGGTTTAGGTTTTGGTTGTGGACCAATTAAAATTTTCCTAAGTGTTTAGACCCAATTAGAAAAGAGATTTTTGTTTGTTGTGATTGGATGCTCAAAAATGGACCCCACACACACACCCAAAGTAACCCATTGACTCTCTCTCTTTCCTCCCTTTCGCATTTTCTGCCATTTCCGTACAAGCGTACGGACAACCTTCAAACCTTCACTTCCAATCACAGATCGAAGATGGGGAAGTGGTCTTTGTGTTCCTTGCAAGTCCAGGAGCTCATCCATGCCATTTGTTGGATGTGAAACCTTCAAAAATCTAAGAACCAGAAACCCCGATTAAGTGCACTGTTCGTGTGATCGTGATCGTGAAGTTTTCAGGGAGTTTTAAGGTTCTAGGAAGCTTTAGGACGTCTTCACGAAGCTCGGGGAGTAATTTTTGAGTGTTTTGGACGTCGGGAGACTCAAGTTCTAGGAGTTGCTGAAGTGGCCGGAGTATCGTGCTTTCTCCGGAGAGTTTCCGTGAGTATTGAGGCTCAAAGTTGGTAAGGTTTTGTTCCTTGCATCATGAGCTTCATTTTGAGACAATTTTCATGAGTTTTGGTTAAGAAATGAAAGAGATATGAAGGTTTGAATAATTTTCCAGTTTCCAGCGATAACAGTGGTACTTGCGCCGGGCTCTGGCGATCTAAGGAAGGAGGAGGAGAATATTTTGTCAAAATTGACGGAATATTCTGAGGCCGTCAGGTAAATATAACGGCATATTCTAGTTTTTAATGGAATATTCCCTAATAACGTTAACTATTATGTCCCCCGTGCCAGGCATGTGCCTGCGCTTGGCCTCGCGTTTGGCCGTGCCTTGGCCGACGCTTGAGGGCGTGTGAGTGCTCGAAATTTTTTTTCTAAAAATTTGGGGATGTTCGTGGTGTTGAGTAGGTCATGGTGGTACGTTCAGACACCCCATTTGAGCATTGTGTGAGAATTTATTTCTTAGTTTTGTGTATGTGCTTTAAATAACGTTTATTCAGTTATTTTACATATAGGTGAGACCTATCCTGAGGACAAGCGTCATCAATCGAGGCTCGGGGGCTACGACCCTTCAACATACTAGTGAGTGGGCTTTTGATTTTCCATATATACCTATATACTTGAGATTTTTCCCAGGAAATGAATTTGAATGATTATACGTTTTGAAATGTCATGAAAGTATCTATCTATTTTATTTATGCATTAGTAGTTGCATATATGTATGATTAGTACTGCAGACACACAGGTAAGTGCCAGGTAAATTCATAAATTAAAGATATGAGATTGCTTCAGTTATGCGAGATATGATGTGATGTATTGAGAGTTCATAAACCTGCACCCGGGTGTTAGTGCTCCTGCCCAGAGTTAGGGCATAGTCCTTCACGTGATGTTCACCTCCCACACCATATGTTCACCTTGGATCCAAGATAGGTGCACATGCTTGTTGTACAAACCATTATAGGTGGTTCCGACTCGTAGGTAACCCGCGATTATTCGCACAATCTTCACGTGATCGCAGCACTAGAGCATATTTATTTTACACCTAGTCATGTCGTACAGACCACTTTAGGTGGTTCCGACTCGTGTGCAGGATTTGATATGATTGAGATTGGTTATGAGCTATAGATTCAGTCATGCAGGTCACGTTAGGTGGATCTGGCTGATATGGATATATTTTAATTGGATTACTTATGGCATTTCATTGAGATACTTTAGCATGGTATATTTCTATGGATTTTCATCCTGAGCATGAATTCTGATATAGCATATATTATATTTTTTTGGGAAATTATACAGGTTTTACGACGATGGGTTAGAACTTTTGAGAAATGAAATGATTTTGAAAAGCTTTGTTTTTGCCCACTCACACTTTCTGTTTTACGCCCCTCCAAGTTTTAAGTAGAAGTGCTTTGGTGGCTTACGAGATTTTGACGGTGGTTCTGACAGAACATCATAAACGTAGGATCACCCTTGGGTGTTGTATAATTAGTACTCGTCCTGCTTGACTGCACTTAGGCTATTTATACTCTGGTTGTGTATTTCACATTTAATCTCGCACTAGCACCTTCTCCTAGATAGGACTGCTAGTAACTTGATTTTTTTATTTATTCGTATTTCTTTATATCAATTTTGTTTCCGCACTGTGCACATGGTTACGTCACTCTCATGTGATGGCCAGCACGTCCTGATTTAGGTCGGGGTGTGTTATTGACTTTCTGCTTGAGGATAGTACTTCGTGGTATTAGTTTTGGTGTGGATGATATTTTTCTTTCATTTGGATTGAAATACCTGACAATGTGTTCATCCGTCTAATTGAGTAAATTGATAATATATAATATGATCAAAGTACAGTCATAATATAATTAACAAATTAATTTTTTTTTAAATAATAAATTAATTTCGCAAAAACCAAAACAAATCCAAATACAGAAAAGAGGTATTTGTATAGAGGTGCCAATTCCTCTACACTTTAATTGTAACCGATTACTTCTGAACTTTTATTATTAGCCAATTTTTCAATAACTTTAGCTAATTATCCTTAAAATTTTATAGACAGCCAACTTCCCTAGTGTTGAATTTTAAAATTTTCATCCCTCCACTTTTCCATTCTTTTTTTTAAGTTTTAACGAAACACTCAAAATACTATTCATTTTAACGAAAAATCACTTTTTACCTTTCCTTAATACTATTCACTACACATTTATTTGTCATTTTTCATTAAAACTAAAGTCTTTTTTGAACTTTTCGTTAGTTTTCCTTTCTTTTTTTCCCCCATATAGTTGTAATGTGTTATCCGCGTGATCAAAATAGATAATTTTTTAAAATCTAGCGTCAGAGGAAAATTGGCTATTTATAAAAGTTCTTGATTAATCGGCTAAAATTAAAATTAGGGAAGTAACAAGCTTTGTACAAGTAAGTGCAAGTCGACAAATATTTGAAACAAAAAAAATATCCCCACGCTTTAAGTAGAGAAATATGAATGAGGATCCTAGAGATTCTCCAATCACGTTTTTTTATCGGGCATTGTGTGATCAATTTTTTTAAATACTGTTTATATTTAATTTTATAAAAAAATTTATAATAATTTATGACTACGTGAATACGACCACCTCTTTAGGTTGGCGCTCTCAAAAGCTGTCTGCGTCTCCTCCTCCAATCTCTCTCTTTCTTTCTCCATCATGCCACCTTCCTTGGCGCTCACAACTCTCTCCATTCCCCTTCTGCAATTGCATAACACGGTAACAAATCTCTGCTTTTTTACTAATTAATTACTTAATTATTCATTTTATTTAGTTTATTACCGTCGCTGTTATGCAGCACTCTTATCTTTTTTGATTTGTGTTTTAGGGCTGCAATGAGTTCGCGTACTTGAGAAATTCCTGGGTTCCAATTTCATCGCCTAAGCTCACCCAAATTTCTCTGAATCAGAAGAACCGGTTTCGACATTTCTCGTCAGCCAATGGCAACAACAATGTCAGTGTATTTTGGGTTTTTTCTTTCATCAACAACAATGTCTTATGTCAAGTCAATTGTTCCCCTTTAATTTCGAATCGAATCGGACTCTGCTTATATTGCCTCTTGATGAAAAATATCAAATTTGGGATTGACCCTGTATTAGTGTCTGTCTATTGCATTTTCATGTGTTAAATATGGACCGGAGGAAGTAGGATGGAACTTGGGAGGAAGAAGGTTTTGAATGTCATAGAAATTTATTTTATTTCGGAGCTAATTAAATTGAACGGTTAAGGAAAAACATAGCTTATAAAGAATCGTGAACTTAGTAGCCAATGCAAGACCTACTTGTGCTTTCAAGAGTGGCAAAATCAAACAATTCTCCTTCGATTCACATTGTTACCGATGTAAATTGACTGATTTATAAGAATTCATTTATTACTGATATTACAAGCTAAATGATCAGATGTGATTTTTTATTTTTTTTACTTTTTATGGCTCTTTTATTTGTTTAGTTTGGATAAGTGATGTTGTGAAACTACTTACTAGGTGCAGTGCGCTTAATGCTTTCGTATACTGCACTGAAAGACAAAATGTTGTAATATAAGCGAAACTCAAGTATGTAGCACCCAGAAATCCCAGAAAAATGGCACTTTTATTTATGTCTAAGTTATCCCCTTAAGTTTACTGTTGATTAAATATATATGGGTGCTATGAATCTAAATAATTACGAGCTATATATTTCATACAGTTACAGAGGTCGCACTTGGTGCGATGGCAAGTGCCTTCGCCCATGAGCGGTAGGTCTCGGGTTCGAGACTTGGGAGCAGCCTCTCCATAAATGGGGGTAAGACTAGCCGACATTCAACTCTCTCAGACCCTGCGTAAAGCGGGAGCCTTGTGCACTGGGTACGACCTTTATATATTTCATACAGTTCTGGTATTAGTTGGTCTATGTAAAATACATGCGAAAGAGTGTATACTTAGGGGCATGAGTCTTTTTTTGTTCAGTTTCGGTTCAATTTAACTTTTCTGATATGAATGTGTCTCTGTTGTGTCTTTGGTGTGTGAGCAGGATTGTGGTTTGTCGGGTGCTGACAGCTTCTCTGCTGAATCTGAAGGTATATAATATTCTAAACTGTATGGATGAGTATAAAATGTATTAAATTTTTATTGGGATGGTTTATTTATTTTGACCTTGTATCCGTTAATAGGAACTTATTTCAATGTTTTTTAGGTTCAGTTGGAAAGAGTGATAGTGGACAAGGAGTACCTTTCACATCCAACGAGTACTTTCTATTTGCCTTACAATGTTTTTGGTTAATACTAAAGGCTACTGATTGTTGTTAGTGATGTGATGAGGGTGAGTCAGTATTTGAACTCCATATTCATAGTACAATCGATATAATTGGACCTGTTAGGAGATTAGTCACAGATGAGAGCTAATTTCAAAAGGTAGTCATATAAGTTATAATGTCTCTGTTATACAACTAGACAATGAGTGGCGGTTACCTTTGCGGTTGCTTGCAAAATAATATAAGATCTGTAGTTGAGTGAATTTTAAGGAAGTCACCCTTGGATGGCCCAGAAATGTTTTTTTATGCTGGTTATCTCGACAAAGGTCGTAATCTCATAACAAATAAGGGATACTAAAGCTAGATCCTTGGGGAGGTAACTTCTGTTTTGAGCTAGCTAATGACATGTTAGTAACTTAGTTTGTTATGCCTCTTTCATGATTTTATTCCTTAAGAACGAGGCTTTCAAGGTCCGAAGTTGGAAAATAGTTTGAGATAGGATTTGGGATGGTGAACAGTCTCTCCTGCATTCTGTAGTGTATGCCTGTTCATTGGCAATTTGGCACCCCAAAAAAGAAAACAAGAAAACAAAAATCTTCCTAAGATAAGTAGCCCTTGTGTTTTATTCTTTTAACAAGAATCAAGATTTGTAGCTTGTCGTCAAAATTTCTTTGACAGAAGGAATGAAAATTGTTGCTTCTCTGTCATTCAAGTCATTTATTTATGGTGTCAAACGTTTTTATTCCAAGTTCTAGGTGAATTAACATAATTTAGTGCACTATATAGGCAACTTTCCACTAGACGGTCAAGAGGATGATACCCTGTGATGTACAAGTTTACACTGCGGTCTAGGGTTATACAATCTTTAATGGGCGTTCACAATAGATCTGTCTTGTGTAAGGTGTTGATATTGGTTTTTAGTAGACTTTTCTCATGGCCTGGAATGAGATTTTCCAAGAGATTCAAGTTGATATTAAGTTGTTAACATTCTGTTGGGAACTCAATCGTTTCTGAAATACGTGTTGGTGACCCAAGAAATATAAAATTTTGTATGAGTGTCTTACTTGACAAACTATACCTTTAATTAATTCATAGATGCTTGAATCCAAATGGAGTATTTGGTTATTATATGTGTTTTGTTTTTGTATATTGTATTCTTTTTTATTTAAATCAAATTTCTGCTTATGAATAAGTTCAAATTTCTACCTTTCAATCAGCTTAGCCTTGCTATTTTCGTTTTCTTTTCACCTTGCTTATGCTGATGCTTTTGTTCTTGTTTGTTCAACTTCTCAGGATTTTGAAGAAATTGAGGAGATACGGAATTTCTGGGTTTTTGTCATATGGGCTATTGAATACTGCTTACTATCTTACGACATTTCTCTTGGTATGGTAAGTGGAGTAAGAAAGTACTGTAAAATTTTGTTGTTATTCCTGTATTGCTTATGCAGTTGCTCATGTAAATTTAGTATAATAATTGTAACTCTGAACTGCTTCCTTTCTCCATTAGGTTCTATGTTGCTCCAGCACCGGGGAGGATGGGTTACCTCGCAGCTGTTAAGAGGTAATTGTTCTTATGAATATCACAGAATTTCAGAAATTTTTTTCACCCGGCTATGCACAATCGTCAAACATAGTGATCACATTAACATTATATTGATCTGCAGATTCCTTAAAGTAATGGCCATGGTGTGGGCTGGAAGCCAGGTTACAAAGCTTGTACGAGCTGGAGGGTGAGTTGCTATATCCAAATTCCAGTTATCCATTTCTTAAGTTTCCTTATCTTTTCAGAACATTGTCATGGTTTTATGATTTTTGAGTTGCCAAGACCTAAAAACAACTTAAAAGTAATTTTGATAACTGTCACCACAGCCACGGGCACCTAAGAGGTTGATATCAGTTTTTGTCAACCTTGGCTGTGAATTCCAGTTTCGATTTTGTGAGAGAATATAGCAAATCATATGACCCTTGTGCTTTGATAATTTTGTTGTTTCGAAGAATGTATGAATGTTCCGAGTGTGAGCTTGTGCTTTGTATATAAGCCGTGCATCAAGGGACATTTGATTCCAGGATAACTTGTTATGCAGGGCCCTTGCTCTTGCTCCTTTTGTGGACAAGGGACTGTCATGGTTCACGGTCAAGTTCCATTTCAAGTCTCAGGGCAAGGTAATATGAATTTTCGAAATTCCTTTGTACGTTCTGGTTACAATTATCGATCTCATTTCATTTCATTCTCCAGGCTTTCGCGGCGATTGTTGGATTTTGCTTTGGACTAGCCCTCGTTTTGTTTTTCGTGGTGACGCTGCTTTGGGCCTAACGTTGTTTCTGTGTGTCTGTTCTGACCGGATTGTAACTTGCAAGGGAGCTAGGGAAGTCCCTCTTATACGTACCGGAATCTCTAGATTAGCTTTCCATATTCATTTTTGTTCCTTAGTTTCTTGTTCAACTAGAGGGCTCCTATCAATTTTGAATTTTTTTTTCCTGATCAATTGATTGTACTTACCATAACGAGTGTCGAATTACGTATAGTACTTTTTTTTTTTGAGTAATAGTCTAATATAATTTAAACTACGGTACGGAGAACAAAATTGTTTTCTTGGTCTGGTTGCTCTTCATTCGATTTGATATCAAGGGTAGAAAATAAATGAATGTGTTTTTAGTGTTTAAATCACTTGCTGACCAAGAGAACGGAACTCGGAGTGAGAAATCTACTTTGGCTAACCCCAACATCTGCAGAGCAGTTAAACCAAACCAAACCAAATCGAATGGAACCAAGATAGTTGTGGATTAACTGCTCTACATATTATGAAAGTCAGTAAACGCAAGCATGGGAAACTAAAACACTTAAAAAAATGACATGGCCCCCCGAGCTTACTGACTTGTATTCTGGATACATTGAAAAATCTCTCTTGTATGCATCCAAATATATCCGATCAAGAAAATGATAAATTTCAAGATAAAGAGCCCCACATCATTTAACACATTCAAAATAAGTTTCTACAAGCTTGAAGTAAAACGTTATGCTTTCTAGGAAAACGAAACGCAGGTCGTCCATCTCCTAAACTGCAATAATATGAGTCCTATAATCTCTACTAAAATGAGAAAAGAGAGAGCTGGTAAACGTTGCACTTCAGATAGTAGCGAGCATGCAAACCTGAACCGAGTCTGTCCTTCCAGTCATCGAAAGATTAAATATTTAATTTGAGCACGATCAATATCAAACCTCTCGCTCGTAGTAGGCTCGCTTAAACTTTGCATCCTTTCTACCATCTGAAGAACGAGGCTTACCAACTTTCTCCTTTCTTCTGTAAGAAGAATGGGAACTCACTGTGCTGTACATTCAGAGTTGGGCAGTTTTGCTTCTATCTCAGCAAGCATAACTTCTGTGCCGCAAGCCTGTAGAAACTTATTTCGAATTTGTAACCCTAAGGATTGTCTTCTTATCTTCAATCAGACATTTGGTCGACGTCAGATGATTCAAGCCTTCATCCAACATATACATGTCCTCGGGTGGGCGATGCATGAGATACAGAAAATATTACAACATTTCTTTTGGAAACACAAGTACCAAAGTAGCAATCAAATACCTTGGATAGTTCTACCCCAACCAGAAACTATTCACATAGTCGAAAAGGCAGCTGCTCGATGTGCATACCAACTGGTAATCCAGTTTGTCATTTGACAAATTCTCATCAGTGAAAGAGAACCCAACCTTTCAACAAAAGCATTTAGATGTAAACCACCGACACTTCATCTCTAAACATGAACCTGCTGTAGTATTCATATCTTGGACTTCAAAACCAGCAAATCTTGTCAAATGTGAATAACCTTATGGATGTCACACTTTTACTTTCATGTATTGGACTTCAATGCCAGAAAATCTCGTCAAATGTCAATAGCCTTGTGGATGCCACACTTTCAATAAGAATCTTGCACAAAAATGAGCACCATAGTATTGGCAAACATTGATAGCCACACCAAGTAGGACGGCCTTCTATACTATGCCTCATGGTAAATTCTTTCTTATATCCATCAAGTGACAGTTCAAGAATCGACAATGTTCATATTACCTGAAATTATGCAAATTACGTCTCAAAGAAAGGAATCACATCAAGCCTCTTGCATGCAAAGCCCTCAAGCATGCTTAAGGGGTAACTATAACGGTTTTGAAAATTTAAATTTAGCTTCACACTGAATTCATAAATGAAACCTAATTAAAAAGACTCAGACGTCGGAAGTCAGAAATGCATCCCAATCACCATGCAAGAAACAAATCCCGCAAATCCCCAAACTGGTAAACCAGCTAGCCTACCAGACCAGTTCCATCACATGTTGGCATTACGCCAAAAGGAAAAATCAATATCTTTCCTCTTGCTCTTCATGATATCTTCATTTTCTTAACAGACCCCTCAAAACCTTGACCCATAAGATTACTTCATCAAAAAAGAGAGAAGGGGCGCCTTCTTTCTGTCTGGAATGTAGCTTGAAAATATGGTTGAAATATGGAAGCCAAGCATCTAAACCATCTCTTCTTTATTTCTTATGTGGAAGATACTGTTTTCCATCCACATTTAACATGTCTAAATAACCGACGTTCGATTTACTCTAATTCTCTGTTTAAAGGTTGACATTATCAAATTAAATGATCACAGACAAACTTGAAACACAAGATTATTTGTAATTAATTATTAAAGAAACTAAAGTATATAAACAAAGCATAAGAGGGTAAAAAACAACAAATAACCTGGAGCATGTTCTAGAAGAAATGAAAGGGCGTTGGTTAAAGAAAACAACTTAAAACAGATGCAATGAATTCAACCCCACCTACTTACTGATAGTTGTCCAGGCATTGGAGAATAAGATGTATAATCCTATATACCCAATGAAACTTATTGACCCCATTGTTCAAGCACCCACTTCATCCATGTAGATAAGCAATACTTGGAAACATATTCAGGTAAATCCTCCTACAAAATAGAAAAATTATTAGAATAGCCACAAACATATAATAAACCCCCCATCTTCTAACTCCGCTAGGAAAGATATGAAAATCGGAAGGATCTTTTAGTTTTAGGTCACAAGGATACAATTAATTCAAAACAAGCACTAGAAAGGGGAAAAAAAGGAAATCAAAGCCTCACAAACTAATACAACCATCAGCCATGAATAAAACCAAAAACGGATAAATTAAATAAAAAGACCAGGAAAAACTTCACCCAACTTTTTGTCGGACCCAACATACGGAGATTGTTTGAATGTTAACCTTTCATCGCTTTGACTATTAGGCCAAAGTTATGAGCATCTAGTAATATGGGACCCACTTTGTAAATGATACGGACATCAGCTGTGATATGAGCCAGCATTTTCAGATTTGACAAATACCTTACGCCCAAATGCTGCACACTTGGCAGTGGCCCCTCTAGTTATTCTCTCTCTGGGCGTCTAGTATTGCCAAGGTCACACTGGACAAGCATGCAATGTTTGGGTTATTGAAAATGTGAAAGTTGCCTAGGCTCCTCTCAACTGATGTCCACATCATCTAAAACATAGGTAAAATGAATTAATATAACAAATAATATATTTGTGCAACACTTTACCGACTAAGATATCCCAAATGATGAAAAGGTCTAATCTGAATCATCAGCAAAAAGAAAAAAAATCACTAATCTCTAATATGAATTCAAGGAAATTTGACCATTTGACTAATCAACTGATAATAGGTATAGATCCTCCAAAACACACCATGCAGTTCAATGAATCTACTTCCTTGACACACCTTCAAGTATAATTATATGTATCAGGGACTCGTTAAGCTTTGCCTCCACACTACCAGTGCTTACTACAGAAATAGATTTCCACAAACTCTATGGACATGACTACATTAAAATCATCAATCGAGAGGCAAAATTATAATAGACATAAGTAGAGTCTGTGACAAACTTACAATATTCCATGATGCAGAATACTCATCAATTGAGAGAAACCAACTTCCAACATTTGATTGCAAATCCAGCACCTCATTGTCATAGCTGTCATTGTGATCAAAGTCCCTTTTTTTTCTTTTCCTTCTACTGCTATGCTTTTTCTTGTGCTTAACTGTTTTGGATGCTTTACGATCCAAATCAGAACCACCTTCTTCATAGGCTCCTTGATTGTCCAGAAATGAATATCTATCTGATGTTCGGAAACTTATTGCATTACACAAAAATAATGATTCCCAAGAATCATGAGTCCGGCATTGTTCTGATAAACTGTAATAAATAACCCATGACTGAAGCCCCAGCAACTTGCATGCTTGTATATTCTTCATTTTAAAGCAATCTTTGATTATTGGGCCCAAGCTACTGTCATCACTTGGGATTGTGCAGATCTTCGAAACAATATCTTTAATTCTTGCTTGTTCTTCGTGGCCCTCTTCATCTCGTAGAAGTCGTAAAAGTTGGCGTCCATGATTAAAAACTGCATTTAACAGTAATATCTCATCAAAGCTTCTAAAATCCGCACACTTAGAAAGTATAACCTCAAACAAATAAGATGAGTCCATAAGATCCTTCTGCTCCATTCTAGGGTTGAGATACTTGAAAAGCATTTTAAGAAAATCACATAAATCCGACTCATCAAGAGTAATAAGAAGGCGCTTGCATAAGGAAGAAAAACACTCCTCCTTCAGGAACTCACTTGTAACTTTCCAAACATCTTTTGAATCCTCTTTATACATCAGATCAACAAAATATTCGACAAAATATTTTCTGTCAACAAACAGAATTTCACCATCTTTAAGTGACTCAGAAAACTCATTGGAGGACCAAAATTCAGGGACATTTTCAAGGAAATTCTCCACAGTTGCCTGGACATCCAAATCAAGAAAGTAATGGGGCTTTGTAGCAACCACTGCTGGCGATTGCCCATGTTTTCCCTTCCACTCAAGTTCCTCCCAACAAGTATCTCGATTAACAAAAGAAAATTGTGATAGCGCCTTAGCACCTGGTTCATGCCCCAATCCACCACCAGCTTTAGAAAACCATTTAGATATTCGTGTTGGATTTCCTGCATTTTTGAACAAGTATGTGATTGTCAGAATTCCTAAAACATCCACAAAACATCGATATATTTATCAATCTTCCACAGGGATAAACATGCACGGTAGTCACTAATAATTTATGCAATCATAAGGGAGCAAATAATCACATACAGGGGTATGAACATTCAAATCACTTAAGCTACAGAAACTAGGCGGAGAATGATGATATCCGGAAGTTAAACATACAAGACAATAAGGTTATTGAAAGAAGAGAGCACCACATTCTGTGATGGGAAAAGTAACTCAAACATGAACTGAATGTATGCAATACAAAATTTACTTGCCTTCAAAAAATTTCTTTAGTGTGTAACTTCGCTTGGATATGATAGACCCTGCTTTATGTGGACTATTCTCAAATATCATTTCTACAAGCTGAGATGCGAAGCCCTTCTTAAGGGGTTTAGATCTCAGCAAGTCCAAAAGTAACTCGCACTGATTGTGACGAGTGAGAGAACTTATTCTGCCTATTGTGTTACAAAGCCACAGTCGAGCCTCTGAACGGCCTCCAGATGCCATGAACAACCAAATAGTAGATTCCAATTGACTCAAGAGAGATACTCTAATCTTGGCAGAATTCTCATCTCCATTGTCATTCCAGATGGGCTCTGATAGAAACAATTGAAGCATTATATATCCAAAATTATAAATGTGCTCAGCTCAAGCAGCTTATCCCAATTAAATGATTCCACAAAAACAAAGTCCTGCATAAAACCAATAGCATGATCAATATACATCAAAAAGTTAAAGAACAGAAAATCACTATGAACATCATGTATAGCAGTCAAACTTTTACTTAAAGAGAGAATAAGAATTCCAACGACATATATTACCAGAATCACCAGAGCACAGATGTGAACCCATACAATTGCAAAAACAATTAACAGAATAGAAATTTCACATTAAAAAAAATATAATAATTGTTGAGAATATTGCGTTTAAGAATGGGAAAAACAAGAACAAACTCCGGAAATCGAAAAACAAATAACCAAGATAAATAACACCAAGAATTTACGTGGTTCGGCAATATATGCCTACGTCCACGGGACAGCAACAACAATCTTTCACTATATCAATAATGAGTACAACCAATAATCTTGCCAAATCTCAAGAACTAGGACTTGACGAAAAACCTGAAAGAACAAGAACAAAAAATACACTATCTCTTTTCTTTTCTCTCGCACACACTTTGCCCTTACAACATTCTCTCACTCCAATCCCTTGAGTGGTACACAAATTATTGTTTTGCTCCCTCCCCAAAACTAGTACAATAGCCCCTTTATATAGACATAATAAAGGTCTTCTTCAATAAGGATTATTAATCCTAATTGTAATCTAGTTATGAATCCTACTCCAATTGAGAAACTAACTCCAATTGGGTAAACAACTCCAATTGGGAAAACAACTTCAATTGGGAAAACAATTTAATCCTCTAAGACTATAATTACTTATAGACGTAGGACAACTTATCATGGGCTGGAAAAAACCCAACAATAATCTCCAATTAACTAAAACATGGATATAATATTTACAGCGATATAAAAAATTAGATACTGATATAAGGATAAAATTTTGCTAAGGATCTTGAAAAATAAATGTTGGATTCATGGGCAATCATAGAGTTTGGCTGACTACCTCACCAGCAACGCCAAATCATTGCACTTAGTGATGATGTAATCATGTAAACCTAGGATGAGATCACGAGAGGCTTAGAGAAGAGAACAATTGGGTTTGTTAGATGAAAAGGCATATCATATACTTTGGACAAGAAAATGCTTCTCTAGAAGAAGGATGAGATATTTTAATTATTACCTTTATGTTAAACCTTAAGATCACTCAAATAACTACCACTGCCCCAATCCTATCTAATCGTCTGTTAATCTTCCTAACATTTAATTAACACCTCACAATTCCTATTCTCTAGCTCTACCCAAACCAAAGAACTTGGTCAATTAGTTGCCATACGGTCTTGTAACTGGCAGTAGTGGATTTAAATGGTTGAACCTTACTTGCTTAGTCAGAGGAAATTGACGTATGCATATATTCAATGGTTTAATTATATTTGCAGCGATTGTAAAAGAGGAATTCACCATCCAGACACCTATGATTACTAAGAGTGAAACAATACTGAGTAAGACACCTATATAATTTTAACACACTTAATCAATGAATAAAGCAAGAAGGTTAATAAAACCAACTGAAGACCGCAAAATCTAAATCCTCAAACCCCCAAAAACCAAAACCATAAAGAACAGCAATGTAGAATCATAAGAACCTTGAATGAAGAGCAGATTGTATTCCAAAGTGAGGCTTTTCTGAAGCTGAAGTTGATGCCAAAATCCTAGTTGGGTCTGAAAACTACTAAAAAGCTTAAAATTGAAATTACTAAGCCATTTCTTCCGGTTCTTTCGTTCTCTCATCTGGGTCTACAGTTTCTACGGGTAAATTGAACCCGTTTGCCACTTAAAAGAAGGAAACTTGTATGATGTGGGGGTTTAAATAAGGGGGATATATATGGGGCAAATTCGAGCAATTAGGCCCCAACCCAGATGTAGAAACCCTCTGAGCACCGCTATTCTTTATTTCTACATCTTCAACTACATTATTACAAGTCATAAAGCCACAGCTCAGAAATTACACATTAATTCAATCCCTGAATTATTATTTAGTAAATTAACTGAAACCCTAATTCCTAATCCCTAAAGTATAAAGAAATTGAAATTGAATAGCAAGAATAAGATAACTAGAGAGAGAGAGAGAGAGAGAGAGAGAGAGAGAGAGAGGAAGACTTACAGAGAGAGAGGGATTAGAGTCAACTGTTGGGGTTTCTAGAGAGAAAGCAAGAGAGAGAGGCAGTCAAGCTTGGACTCCTCCAACTCCCAAATAGGAACTTCCGATCCCAATTCACGAGAGCCTCCTCGACGCCGTCTACAGCGAGTCCTCCCAACTCGAAGAAGCCCAGCTCCGACGAAAACAATTCAGGAATTACATACAGAAATCGAAGTCGGCAAGAGTCGGAAGGGTTTGAATTGTACCGAGCAAATTCAATTGAACGTCGAAAGGTTTACCCGAAACCAAACGGGTTTTTAGCGGGTCAACCATTATCATCGCGAGTTGCAAGACTCCAGCTAAACATTGATGCTAATTTTTTTTTTCATTTTTAAGTTGTTCGATAAAATAGTGAAGTATTCAAAATGTCACAAAATGCTCCTCCCTAATTAAAAACCTTTGAGAAAGATAACTCAATTAAGAAGGGACAAAATAGTAATTCAAGATAGTTTGAATTTTGAATGAAAATTATACATTATAAAATAATAAATAAAACCCATGTAGTGTGTGGTTTTATGGTGAGTTTCTTTTTCACTTGTGAGTGAGAAGTTTTAGATTTGATTCTGCTAAAGGTAAATTTGAAATACATTATTATGACACTGCTACCGAATAAGTTTCAATTAAAAAAAATGAAAAATAGAATAGTAATTAAACAGTAAAAAAAGTTTGGCTTCTTAAGATTGATGAGTTCTCCTCAAGAGTCAAGATACTTTATAACCGTTCACTCTTTAAAATAAATTTCTAATTAAATACATTTGGAATATTATAAATTTCTTTAAAATCCTAATTGAATACACCGGATTACTAAAGATTTTAATAAACTATCTTAAAATTCAAATTGAATACACCTTGAATTTCAAAGAATCACTTAAAATTTTGATTGAATACCCTAGATTCATTAAAAAAATTAAAATTCATCAAAATCTCAATTGAATACACCCCCTTAGAATAGGAATGTGATTGTGTAAATTCTAGGGAATTTGAGAAAGTATCTTATATTCTTATTAGGATTAGATTACCTATTAAATATTGTAATCATAAAGAAAAAAGTTTTACCCTTCCTACTACTATAAATAAACGCACAATAAATTAAATCAAACACACATCACAATTAAATCAATCTCTCTTCTCTCTCAATATTGCCGAACCCTCTCTCTAAATCGTTTTATCAAATAGGCTACAAGAAGAATATGGTTGAAAACGAGTGAGACAGAAAAGTCGTGCAAGTCACCGCGGCACGCACTCGCCGGTCCCCAACACGCTCACACTCCCTCCCTTCCGGCATCTCCCTTTTCTCCTAAGCAAACGTAACAAACAAACAAACAAATCCCAATTTCCACCCAAATTTTCAATTCGATCAAAATTCACTTCGATCAAAATCCTCGCCCTTCTCTTCTTCTCGGAATCTCAAATCTCAACCTTCCAAACCCGACCCGGTTCAAATTGCTGCGATGGTTCCACCGGCGGGTCCAAACCCACCGAACCCCCAACTGATTCAGCAGTTCCTGAGCTCCGTCCTCTCCCAGCGCGGCCCCTCCGCCCTCCCTTACTCCGAAGACACCAAGTGGCTCATCCGCACCCACCTCGTCTCTATCACCTCCGCCTATCCTTCCCTCGAACCCAAAACGGCGACCTTCACCCACAACGACGGTCGCTCCGTCAACCTCCTCCAGGCCGACGGCACCATCCCCATGTCGTATGAGGGCGTCACCTACAACATCCCCGTCGTCATCTGGCTCATGGATTCCTACCCTCGCCACCCGCCCTGCGTCTACGTCAACCCCACGCGCGACATGGTCATCAAGCGCGCTCACGCCCACGTCAACCCTTCCGGTTTGGTCACCGTCCCCTACTTGCAGAACTGGGTCTACCCAAGCTCCAACCTCGTCGAGCTCGTCAAGAATCTCAGCGCCGTTTTCGGCCAGGACCCGCCGCTCTTCTCCCAGCGCAGGCCTAATCCCAGTCCAAACCCTAATCCTAATCCCAACGTTGGCCATTCCACGTCATCTGTGTCGAATTCGGGTTATTCGAGCTACTCGGGCTATTCTGGATCTTCCGGTTCGGTTAATCATGCCCGTCCGGCGATCCCGCCGAGGACGTATCCGCCTTCGCCTTATGGAAGTAGCGGATCGTTTTCTCGGGTTCAGGCTGATGATCCGAACGATGTTTTCAAGCGGAATGCGATCAATAAGCTTGTGGAGATGGTGCACGGCGACATGGCAGGGTTGAGGAAGACGAGGGAGGCGGAAATTGAAGGCTTGTTCAATGCACAGGCGGTGCTGCGGCAGCGATCCGAGCAGCTCAACAAAGGGTTGAAAGAGATGGTGGATGAGAAGGAGGGTTTGGAGCAGCAGTTGCAGATGGTGCTTATGAATTCGGATGTTTTGGATGCCTGGTCGAGAGAGAATGAGGGGAAGACTAGGGGGAGCTTGGATGGTGATGTGGACGATGCTTTCGAATGCATTGACCCACTTTCGAAGCAATTGTTGGATTGTACCGCCTCTGATTTGGCGATTGAAGATGTTGTGTATTCTTTGGATAAGGCATTGCAGGATGGGTCAATAGGCATTGAGGAGTACTTGAAGAATGTGAGGTCATTGTCCCGCAAGCAGTTCTATCATCGTGCTACAGCTGCTAAAGTCAGGGCAGTGCAAATGCAGTCTCAGGTTGCGAATATGGCTTCTCGGCTTTCGCATTATGTTTCATCTTAGTAGAAATGGTATAGGTTCTTGTTGGATTCTTGTGCAAATATGTCAATGCTTTCTTGTTCTTGTTCTTTCTTTTCCAAATTTTTCTTTCACAATGTTTCTTTAGGGATGGTTTCTGTGGGAAATATATTGTTGTTCAATAAGAACTATATGGAAACTCATTTTTGCTCTAGATTTGTGTATGAATATCAGATATAATCATTTTTCATTCCGACCAAGCAGTGGGAATTGGTGTTGATTTTTGAAGTATTCATGCTCATAGTTTCATTTGGAACATTGTAGCTTGTACTGTTAGGTTTTCATGGTCATAGATAGTGGAACCAATGAGCAGTTGCACAAGGCACATAGTTACGCGCAGTAGGGTTCTAAGGCCGACAAGAGGAAGCATGACACTTCCCCAAAGTGGAAAGAAGCAAAACCTTAGTGCATTTGCTTTTACCTCAGTGTTTGTAGTTGCTTGTTATTGCCACAAGTTGGGCGAGTGTGTTGAGTTCTACGGGGGTAATGGAGCTTCTCTCCCTTTATAGAGATGCCGGCGTGGGAGGAATGGCTGTCAAGTCCAGGTAGAGGTCAATGTCTTGACTTTCCTCGTCTTGAGAAGTTGACTTTAGAGAATAGTCCGAAGCTGAGGGGAAACTTGCCTGATCATCTTCCTTCCTTGAAAAAGCCTTTTGTGTCCGATTGCGGGGTTATACATGAAAGGGTTACCAGAACTCGATGGATACCCTGGTCTCTCATAGTTAACACTAAGTCCTTGCAACAATCTCTTCAGGAGCTGAAGATGTTAGATGCCCGAGTCTCTCGTCGTTACTAGAGACGGAGGATGAAGATGTTAGATGCCCGAGTCTCGTCGTTACTAGAGACGGAGGATGGGCAAATTTCGAAAAAGCGTGGGACAGAAGAACGCTGGATAGAAGAATGCCGGGAGAGATATCGGGTGCAAGACAGACTAAAGGAAAGAATCAGGAGAAATGCAGATGCACAAACATTTTGACGAAGTGTTCTGTGAGTACGTTTTCTTTGGGTACATTGATGGGATTAAACCGTGATCTTTCAAATGTCAATTCACATCATACAGTTCGGTTTTGGTCTCCACCTTAACTTTAGGTGCAGCATCACCACTTTGTTTCATGTGTCATAGCAGGGGACATAAAACAACACGTTATGCAACAAAATTAATCAAATCCCGGCGTCTTCCCCTTCTCGAATACTCGAATCAAATCACCCGACCTTTCATAAAGTTTACATTCTTGTTACCATTCTAATTTCCAAGAAAACACACCCAGGGCCCTCGGTGCATATCTTTTTCTTCTCATCTCTCTTCTCACATGGCCCTCACACGAGGAGAATGGGCACGAAGAAGGTATACCGCAAAGTGTACTTAAGTTTTTAGACTTGTACTTTCTCCTTTCCTCTCTTACAAGAATGGGCAACTCACTTTGCTGTAAATTAAGGGTTGGAGTTGTACACTTTGCTTCAGTATACGAACACATTAACTTGTTGCAGCATGGGAGAACTTATCTGCGACATGATGTTGTCGAAGTCGGCTACATCAAATTCAAGCAGCCCTAAACATCAAATTCAAGCCTTGGTCCACCTTGCTACACCAAAGAGATGTTTTATACTTTGGATCAGAGGCATGCTTTTTGTCATATTGATCAAGGGACCGTTGAACGCAGTATTGACCATGTGTATTTATTACCTGAAATTAAACAAGCAAACGAGTAAGTTACACTTCCTTAAAATTTAACATGATTCTCAGTTTACTACTAAACTTTCATATTGAATCAAATAAAGTTGAAACTATGAATTAGTGCGGATGTAGAAACTCTGTTTGGATACTTGGATTACTGATGGCATGAATTAGGTGAGAAATTCCAAAAACAATAGTTTGGATACTTGGATAACTCACCAACCTACCTACCACCGTAACGGTGGCTTGTCCTAAGAACACACAACTCTTCATTGCTACTTTCATACGCTACTTTTAAGGATTGAACCATGGCTCTACAGAATTGAAATGGATTATTATATCTACCACATCGATCGACATTCTAGTTAATCTATTTCTGTGGTACCACCAAACCGTATTATTTCATGAGCCCAATATAGTAGACTGACTGACTGGCAAAAGAAGCATCTAAGATTTGTACATAAGAAAATACTGAGGGCAATGCAAACATCCCAAACACATATCACAGGGTAAGGGAGCCGGGAGGGCAATGCGATAGACATTCAGGAACCCTTGCAGGTAAACTCTATCTACACAAGGCAAATTCTATACGCAAACTTGATATACAATGTTTTTGAAGTTACCTCTCGAATTCTTCCAGACCCAAAACTCTGTAGCTTTGAAATCCATCCTTTGGATGACAGAAGGTGGTTTGCTTAGTGGGTAACAAATTACATCCATCTTCATCTGTGCAAATATCAAGACCACAAGCTCTACAAAGAGACTCCAAATCTGATTCCTGATAAACCACATGCAGCTTTACAAGTTCAGAAAATAATAAACGTAAAATAATAAATTTGAGTGATTAGCAAAAATAATAATAAATTTTCGTAGATCCCAGTTATTGATAGCCTACCGTCATCATCAAGAGCTTAGACAAGTGTGCCAGCGGATACGGATGAAGCCTGTATCCACCATTATTTATACACAAGACAGCTAGCGCTCGAACCTTTTTAAGTTAAGAAACACAAGAAATAAGAGACAATTTTATCATCACAAGCATTGAAGAATTACAGAGAGATGACTGAAATAAACTTTCACAAGTATCAGTGTGGATTAGCCTTAAAACACTTAAACAAGACTCAGAACTTAACATTAACAAAATCCACGGTCCTAGAAAGACAGGTGAAACTTATCCTACTGTTTTGTAGTGGTTGATAATACAAGAAACCAGCCTGAAAGCGAAATGATTACACTGTATATAATGGTTTAAAAGATTATTAAAAAACGTTTTAAACTTAATTAGTTTCAACGACCTCTTACCTGATTGATATAAGGCTCGAGAATGCAGTATTGAAGATAAGATGCCTCAGCTGCTATAGTGCTTAAGAAACGCTTATAGTTGCCCATCCGGAAAAATCTGTTGCAGAAACAAATTATCTTTCTAATTTATACCCCATGCTAATGAAAACATTCACACATTGAAAAAGAACAAAAACCTTTAATCATACTAATTATCTCTAAACAAGAAATAACATTAAAGGGAAGTTAAATTACCGTAAAATCTTTCGGGAAAAGCACATTTCCTTCGATTTGATTAACAAAGAAGGCAAGTGAGAAAACCACCATGAAAGGGACTCTCCCTGGGACCAGAACAAACAATGTTCACATATATAGGACACAATACAAAACGGAAACCAAGAAGAAATAGAATGAATAAACATAAAAACGCAATAGAGACAAACCATCGGTTGGCTGTTAGGACCAAGATGAAGCAGCACATAAAACGAACAAAACTCAGCTTCGTTTTCATATGTAGAATTGGAATGCCTATGTGCTTCATACAGATCAAATAGAGATGTCAAAGTCTTTGCAAGCTGTTCCATGTTGAGGTAATGGGTTGAAGAAGTATTTTGACTGCGACAACCTCGAAGCTTGCGTAGGGATATGATATGAAATTTTACCTGTACAATAAATACTGTAACTTAAAACTATTTTGGCATTTCTAAAGGTTGAGAGTTCTATATTCATAACATTTTTGGTAATGCATATTTCTTTCGATATTTTAAAATCCATAATATTCTGAACTGGACAATAATTGATTTCACGACACATGGAAACAACTACATCAACAGATTTACATGTCTATGAAATGAAACTATTAACTCCATATGGCATACTATGAAAATGAAGCTTCAAACATAGTGGCAATTAAAAGGTTTTGCAGGATACCCATACCATTTTCTCATACATGTGGATGACCTTATCGTTGACAACATTCTGCATGCTAAGATCCTGTCTTATCGACCTTGTTCGATCAAAGAGGAAGTCATGAACCACTTCAAAAGGATATTCTCTAGAATCAAACAAGTTTAAAAGGTAATTTAAGGTGTCTTCCAACACAGGGAGCGGCCGAACATCCGATGCTTCAACTTGTTTGTTAGACGTAGTTCTGAAAAACTAGTGGAAGAAAAAACGTGTTAGCTTCTTAAATTTGCAATACATTTGAATGAGTTGCAGCATTAAAGTTACAGGAAACAATCAGAAATTTGGATTTTGTTAGATAATTATTTTCATCATTCAATAATTAAGAAATTATGATTCTTCTGATCAACATAACCCTACAGTCGAAATCCATTCCCCTCACTGAAATCCTTGCATTCAGTTGATACTTCAGGTGCATTTGGTTGCACGAATTTGGCATCACATAGTCATTTACTTGACATTCTACTTTGATGATATTGAACTTGGCAGCGTCATAATTCTAATTTGGAGAAGCTTAATTTTCATGTGGTATCCCAATCATTCCCTTGCTGTCAAACCAATTTGATTAACGCTATAGCCTAAGGCCTTGGCTGGTGTCTAGGATTAGATTGGAACAGATAATCCGCAATATTTAGGGTATGTTTGACTAAAGAAATGAAAAACTGGCGTCCTAAATGACGGTAGAAGACGGATTACTCATTAAGGAAATTTATCCTTCCATCCCATCCCAAAAATGGTAGGATTAGAAGGGATAAGTTCCCCTTATTTCCAACACCTTCACACCTCGACATTTACTCTGTTATCCATTCCAATCCGATCCGATCCTTGATACCAAATGAAGCCTAAAGTGTAAGCTTGTTGGGCACCCAAAACCCATCTTTGCATAAGAAATCAACAAACTTAATGGATCATCGGAACAAATCAAATTACCATTCCAAACAAAAAGGTTGGATTTTCCCCCTGATAATACTGATTTAAGTAATTATCCAATCGAATCAAGAGAAGATTAATGTATGAAGGTGTAATCATGTAATCTTACTTTTTTAACAGCGAGGTCCGGAGATGATTGCCTTGGATTTCCATGGAGCCTCTCAAACACTGCTAAATCACGAAGCCGCTCACGCTGCGCCCTCTCTCCTTCCGGGCACATCAAAGGGCAAGTGCCCACTATGGCGGGAACGTCGGAATGGTTATCTACGGCGTCTTTTTGTGCTTTCTCAGTACCAGTTGCGCCTCCGCTCGAGGATTTGGGAGTTGCGGCGGAGGTGGGTTTCGAAACGAACCTGTTCGAGCGGCCACGCGTGGATTGGGAAGAAGAAACGTTTCGACCACGCCCTCGCCTCTCCATTTCCACCTTCTTCTTCCTTCTCTCTCTCTCTCTCTCTCCCTCCCTGTCTCCTCGACTTTTGGTACCAATCAGCTGGCTGATCGAGTTTTGGTAAATACCTGCTTCTTTTTGTCTGAACTCTGAAGTCAAACTCTCTGAACTCCCTTGGTTCTGAACGCTCCAACTCAAAACAACTCCACTCCTTCCATACCAAGTAGTTTTCTAATTTATTGATGCTATCACTCTACTAAAAAAACATCTCATTTACCTTGGAACAAAAAATATCATTCATCTCTACTAATTAATAAAATAATCACCGTCAACTAAAACTCTATGAAAATACCAGTTTAACCGTCTAATTAAAACAGAACATGAATAAGAAATATGGGACATGAGTGTAATTTCACACAACCAAATTTTGCTATTTTTTTTTCAAAACATCACCTACATGTAATCCTAACATATCTCTAATTAAAAAAAATTTAAAAATTTAAAAATAAAAAAAATTTCCTACTCCTACATTCTCTATCACTCTCTTCCTCTCTCCCTCTATTGGAAAATTTGGAAAAATAACCAAATTTTAGATCTCATATAGAATTATAACCACTATTTTTATTTTATGATAATTATAACCAAAACTTGATGTAAAAGTATTAATATACCCTTAATACTAGGGTTTCTCACAACAACCATAACACAACCCTTAAACTACCTTAAAATGTTGAGGATTACTGCAGATTAAGGCCACTGAATTAGCTTTCTCTTTAATTAGTATGGCAAGTTATGAGAATGTTCTTAAGAAGGTACTAATTATATGGCTAATTATTATTATTTTAATTAGATACTTGGATTTAGTGTTTCACTAACTAAATTGCATACATTCCGATATATTTTTCCAATGGATGAAGAAAGAATACGAAATTGCATCTGCAAAGTGAATAGTGAAAACAAAAAAGTGATGAAGATTAATTTCTCATTTTAAGATAGTTTAAAGGTTTGTTTTGATTGTTGTGAGAAACCCTAATATTAAGGGTATATTAGTACTTTTACATCAAATTTTGGTTCTAATTATCATAAAATTATAATAGTGGCTATAATTCTATATGGGGTCTAAAATTTGGTTATTTTTCCAAATTTCCCCCTTCTATTTCAAAAACAAAAAATAAAAAATTTTCTCACACACTTTGTGTGTGCCCATATGCTAGTACTATTATTAAGAAAACCCTCCTTGTTAACTTTTTTTTTCTTATTTTGACCTCACTTTTGATACACACTATTGACAAAAATGAGGGCAAAATAGTAATTTTGTACCTTTTGACAAAATGACAATCATATCCCTATTTTTCCTATTTTACCCTCTTTTTATACTTATTTTTCCAATTTTACCCTCACTTTTGACACACAATATTTATATAAGGAGGACAAACCAGTAATTATGTAATATTAATATGCACTTATTAAGAGAAATTGTTCACACACACAAAGTGTGTGTGTTCTCTGCTAGTTTTATTAAAGATAAGTGGGAGCTCTTTCTCGAAACACTTTGTGACTGACGTACAAAATGTTTTGTTTATGATCGAAACTGCTCATATTTATAAATCATTATGTAAAATCATTTCTGAAAAAAATTAATAGAACATGAGATGGTTCAATCATCAAAGTGGGTAAAAGCGTTACAAACCGCTAATTTATTTTACCAGTTATTTGATTAAAATAATCTTGATTTACAAAATGATTTATAACATGAACGGTTTTAATCATAAATCTGCAGTTTGTAAATAAACAACAGAGTGTTTTGTGGAAGAGTCTTTCATCATCCTTGATGAGCCAAACATTGTTCATATTTTACGCTTGGAACTTGATATTCGCTCTAATTTGGTCAAAGTATGTCTATTTCGTGAAAATATGGTTTAATATGATGACATGAAAGGGTAAATCAATAATTAAGATAAATAGATATAAGACCAATTATATAGACGATTGTTAGGTTTAATCCATGCGATTTTGCTTCTCAATCTAGGTTAATTGACTTTTGATCTAACTAAACAACTTTTCTATTTTATCATAATACGTCTTCATATTTTCAAGGAAAGACAGAGAAAAATTAATGATGGTTGATCAACATGCACCGAAAGGAAGTGAGTCAGTCATATGCACGGAGGGTTACTCGGTCATTGACACTTAAAAAAAAAAAAGTCATCCTACACTAAAACAAAAAAAAAAAGTGTACGGAAGGATTGCGTGATGACATATTTATACAAAAGAATTGCATGATAACATATTTGGAGCGCCAATAACATCACCAAAATGAAACGTGGATATTCCATAGAAACAACATTTCCATTAACCAAATGAAACGTGGTGATGTTATAAAGATAAGAATCAAATTCAGCAAATACATTAAAAACAAGAATGTAATAATTTATGAGCTGCTACTATTGCTTTGCTACCAATCTTTTTGTCAAGTTCATATGCTGTCCCAAGGCAGCATTCATATGCTACAGTACATTGTCAGGAATCATCACCGCACTAGGAACAGTTATATATTAAGAATCCGCACGCACATCTATTGACGAGCTACGAGCAAGAGGTTTGCATGGAAAAAACCTACCTCAGTCAAAAATTCTCTCCCCCGTCGAGAACAGTAAAAATACTAGAGAACTGAAAATGCAGAGCAAACCCGGGATAAAGAACACCAATCTCCAGCTCTCTGGACTCGAAAGACTTGAATCAACACTTCTTGCGGCTTCAAGAAGTTTGCCGGTCAGATCAACTCCAATAATGCCGGCTAACGTACCAGCAGTGTTGGAAACTCCCATCACAATGCCTGCATATCTCGGGGCAATATCCATGTGGTTCACTGCAAAACCAGCTCTCCCAAGTGCCAAGAAACCCAGAGCAACAGAAGAGCAGAGGACAGCTCCACTAGACGTTCTGAAGATGGGAATTGCCATCAGTGCAAGAGAAGCAACTATGAACCCTATGGTGTTCAAGAGCTTCCGCGTTCTAGTAACAGACAAGATTCTCTTTGTGACCAAGTGATCAGCAACCACCCCACCTATGTTTGAGAAAATAAACATGTTGAGATACGGCAACATCTTAGAAGAACCCATTTCCTGAAGGCTAAGCTGGAGGCCCAATTCAAAGTATGTCGGCAGCCAGTTCATTAACACATACAAAGCGTAGTGAAATGTGAAATTATTAACCACAATTGCCCAAACTGGCAAACTGAGTAAAATTCTCTTCCATGGGATTTTCGCAGATCTGATGGAACTTCCTCCATTCTCTATTTTCAATTTATGACTTCCATTGATTGGCAACATTGACTCCCCAAAACCAGCAGCTGTGGCTTTTGGATGTTCTGAGCGAGGTGGGTCGCTGGCATACTTGAACCAAAGCAAAGACCACATGGCACCTAGTGCTGCCTCAGCAAGAAAGACATCCTGCGGGCCTCTATACTTTACAAGGCTCGGAAGAAAAAGCATTCCTGCAGCGGCACCTAGGTACATACCAGAAGTCGTAAGAGAAACAGATCTGGATCTTTCATGCGGTGGAACCCACTGTGCTAGAACTGTGTGGATTGAGGGGAATATAAAACCTTGTGCGACACCAACAAGCAGCCGAGCAATTACCATGACAAAGACTCGATTGGGGTCCAAAGGGACCAATGCACAAGTAGCTGACCATAATACAAATGAAAGGAGAAGAACCTTCCTTCCCCCAATTTTCTGGGCTGCCCAGCCTCCAGGCACCTGTGAACAAGCATAGCCATAATAGAATGTAGAAAGAATTGTGCCTTTACTTGCTTGATTTACCCCAGCAGCATCAGCAGCAAAAGTGTATGCAATTGAAAACCCGACACGTTCTATATAGCAAACAGATGTGCAGATGAAGGTCAATATGACGACTAAATAACGCTTTGGAAATTTCATCGTCCTCATACCTCACCTTTTGTGACCCTTATAAGAACTTAGCATTGCCAATATTTCCTTCCAAATATTTTCGTATTTTCTTTAGAAAAATCAACTTTGTCAATGTTATCAACTGTAGCTATTATGTCTGCTATCTTTGGGTGAGCTGACTTTTAACAGCTCACGTTTCTTACAAAAGTGGTTCAGAAGAGGAAAGCAGCAACTTCACAAGTATCACAAATCAATGCTTAGATATGTTGAATAATCTGCAGGAGGAAAAAGTGGTTTAGAAGAGGAAAGAAGCAGCTTCACAACTTGTTTGAACAGCAACAAAACAACATAGCATACCAAAAAAACCAAAACCATTGTACAGGGGCTTCCAAGATCCAAGAAAGTGCTTTGTCAGTCAAAATTTAGACAGAGCCCTCTTCATTTTTTATGGCATTATCACTTCTATTAGTTCTATAATGTATACACGGACTCACACCCCTCGGATTCCATATTGTTTGGGTGACCACGTTTTAAATAGAAAAACACATCGATGAATCAACAGCCTTGGCACAGTATTCATGTACAGCAAAGGAGGCAAATCTAGGAAAAATTGGCAATACATATATCCATGGAAGGATGCATGTAATTTTAGGGTCTTGACCAGTGTTTTAAAACACGAGCCTTGAGGAGCACCTAGGCGGCCTTCGAGGTGGGGCGGTGAGGAAAACGCCTATGCCCAACGGGAGTAGGTTTAAACTCGCCTAGGCATGGTTGAGGCGCACCTGAGATGTCAGCTGAGGCCTTTTTTTAGGGTTATGGTTTCTCACCTACAATGGAGAAATTTTTTTATTTGATTGTTGATTATTCTTCTATAATGTTTGATTTCGACTCTATTATCGATATATTATATATTATATATATAATTAATAATTTTAGGTCCCATGAGGCTTCACCTCACGCCTCAAGGCTTTCGCCTAGGCAGGGCTATCCATGAAACATCTTGGCTTCGCATTCTTGACATAGATAGGGGGTTGAAGTGTTTATCTTTCCCCCATATCAGGGTTTTGGCAAAATTTATCCCGAATTGGCAAACCCTAAATCTTAATTAATCTCATTGTGACCCAAGTAACCAAAAGTATGCCCTAATTGCACTTATCCAGAAAATTTCCCTCAACTGATCATAAGGAATCCAAGACAATCATTGAGCAGACAGGAAACAAAAGAACTGACTCACCATTTGCAATTCTTTCATCTCTTTTCAGACCCTTTCTAGCCCATTTGTAGACAAGTGAATCATTGAGTT